TTAAACAAATATCTCCGATTCACATGCTTATCTATTACCAACTCTTCCTACTTGATATTATAAATAAAAAAAAAAAAGTATAGTTTAAGAATATTTTATTTATATATTTATATTCAATTAATATATCCATATATTACTATTTTTCCTACTTGATATTATATAAATAAATAAATAAATAAAAAAAAAACTCACTATTATATAATGATACATTAATATGATAATAATTTTTTTATTAAGGTAATATTATCTTAATTATCATTAAACTATATTAGATAAATACTGCTTAATTATAAGATTTATGCTATTTAATAAGACTTAACTAGAATATTCAATTGTAAGAAAATTATTAATTAATTATTTTAAATTACAGAATTAATAGTTTTGTATAAGTATTTTAGAAATATTTTTGTAATAATTTTCAAGTATTATAAATATTAAAATTTGTATAAATTTTTAAATTTTTAGATATATTTTTGTAGTTTTATTTAAAATTAAGATTAGGATTTAAATTAGTGTTGCTAGCAAAAAAAGTATATATAGATTTTGTTATAAACTATATTTTTAAATCAAACTTTAAATTTGGTACTATTTGTAATATTTTATGAAAATATACAAAAAAGTAAAAAGAAATTGTTTGTTAATAGAATAGATAAAATTTATTTATTTTACAATAATAAATTTGATATTTCTTCTTTATAAGAGATTATAAAATGTTAAGGGCATTTCATATATACATAATGATGTGTCTTAATATCTAGTAAACTTTAAAGACCAACATTAAACAAAATTAAGAAATGATCAACAAAATCTAACAAATTACAATGAATATTCGCTATGCTATACGTATAATAATACACACTAAACTAACCTGAAATTTAAAGAGAATACCAATCAATTTAAATTCCAACATACGTATAGTTCCGAAATTAAGCACCCCTTTTTTGCATGTAGTGCAGGCCAAAATTGTTATAATGTAGGCCAAATTTTGTATAGTGTGGGCCAGGGGTGCTTATTTTCGGGAGGTGCTTAATTTCGGAACTATATGGTATCAAAAATATGTATAACCCATTGATTTAAGGTTTAACGTTAATCTTAAAGTTACACGAATTCTTTAAATTTGCTGATGCATAGCTTTCACAACATATACATACAAACATAAATGGTATTATTTTTTACTCATTGCTTGACGACTTATTTATAGCAAATGTTGCACACAAATCTACCTTTTTTCCAGATTTACTAATTTATCATGTGCATTCGAAAACACTTTAAGAATTTTCTTCGTTCGATTTCATAAACGTAAAAATGGGCACACCTCAGAAAAATATCACTGAAATTACTACTAAAATTTCTGCAATTAAAGAAATTTATAAAAACATTCAATATAATAAAAGAATATGCATTTCATTAATGGAGCGCATTGAATTTGTGGATTTCGCTATTGCTGGAAATTTACAAAAAAATATGATAAATAATTTCACATCTCTCGTTCAAGTTTTAGATAGGACAGAAATTTTTATGAAAAATATCTCGCAATTGTACAGTTATATGAAATATATGGATCTAGATCATAATTTAATCGAAAGAGAATTTGACGCACTAATAAATGAATTTTCAGCAGTATTCCAGGAAATACCACAAGTCCACATACGGAATGACAATGATAAAGAAAATTTCAAGCAGGATTCTGATCAAATGAGAGAAGTATGACATTTAATATTTTAATAATTAATTCCTTATATTTATTATAGCATTTCTAAAGAAAAAAAGTTTTTCATATATATTAGTTTGTTACAAAAATTAGAGATAAAATAATTGATATTGGTAGCATAATTAAAACAGTTGAAACGTTAAAAATGTCAAAAAATCAACCACCGGGTTTCGAATTCTTCGAGATAACTTACGATAAGCTGATTGATCCCTTTATTGAAATGTCTAGTAATTTAAGAGGAAACAGACCATATGTTAAAAAAAGGTTTTATAATAGTATAGAAGTTGCTTGCAAGCCTTTAACTAGAAAAATTGATGAGAAAGGACTTCAAATTCAACTTTCAATTTTGGAAAAACTTAGAAAATCCTCAAATATTCTTCGCTTTTATGGTGTTTCAAATTTTGAAAACACCCGTATGTTAGTAAATGAATGGGCTGAATTAGGAACATTGAAAAATGTTTATGAAAATTATAAAATTGATTTTTACGCAAAGATATTTATAGCTGCAGGAATTTGTAACGGATTAATGTATTTGCATTCTTATTTAGTCCTTCATCGTGAGATTAGATGCGTAAATATATTGGTAAGTTTATTGTTTAGCTTTCTATATAAATTAAAATATTAATATAATACACAATTATCTTATAGATGACGAAAGACCTCGCACCAAAAATTTCAAATTTTGAACAATCTCATCTTTCAGGCACTTCCCGTAAGGATATACTAAACGTTAAAGAAATAGTTCGATGGATGGCTCCTGAAATATTAAGACATGATCCATATACATTCAGTTGCGAAATTTTTAGGTAATATATTTAACTAGTTTATTTAAAAAGTTTGAAAATTATTTACTTATAGGCATTCATAATTATAGCTTTGGAATGCTTTTATGGGAATTAGCTTACGAGAAAATCCCTTATCAAGAACTAGAGACTCAACAAATTTTAAATGACGTTGAAAACGGAAAGAGAGAAAATTTGGATTCTTTACCCAATTTAGTAAATGATATCAATCTAGAAAATGTTGCCAACAAATTATTTAAAGACTATCAAGATATAATTCGTGGTGGTATGATTTTCTTGCAAATTTTCAGCTAAATGATTGTAAGGTATGAAATATTTGAGTGCTGCCAAGGGAAAATCTGTCGTCGGCTTTCAATTATATTCTATGTTCAGTTTTCTTCCAGAGCTCTGTCTATGGAAAATCTACAAACAAACTGAACACAGGATATAATTGAAAGCCTGATGACAGGTTTTCACTTAGCAGCACTCATTTCATAAACTTCGTATAAAATATTATTGCCTTGTTGCGAAATAACGGCATGGGAAATCGTATCATATGAAATAGCATAATTGGGTGAGTGGAAATCAAGGAGGTGAATATTTAAATTTCATAGTGACAAACTTTGCCCTGAAAACTATGATCAATGTTTTGATAATTTCAGTAATATATCCAATATAATACCAATCCGTAATATCATAATTTTTCAAGGGCTAAGTTCGTCACTGTGAAAACTTAAATATTCAGCTCCTGGTTTTCACCTCACACACTCAAATAGCTTCAAAGTAACATCTATGCGTCTCCAAGCCCTCTAATTAACGTGCACCCTATAAAGGGGTTAACCTGTCTGGAAGCAGATACATAGTAATTTGAAAAACTAGATTCAAAAAGATATCTTTGTCTCAAATAATCCCGCCCGCGTACTCTGAATAATGCACATATATTCAAGATATTGTGCAAGTGGGCATTATTTTGCGACGATGAAATATTTAATAAATTTCTGATTTGGAATTTATTAGCAAGGACAGTCATACCTTATGGCCATTTTATGTACCATTTTATTTAGTTGCAGTATTATTGTAAGAATTATCTAATATATTAACTCGATATTTATTAATCAAGCATGGGAACAAGAACCGAGCTCTAGATCATCTTGGGCCCATATTTATCCACGAATGGTTGATCTTAAATCTAATGTGCCTAAGGAACATTTTATAAAACATAATCCTTTAACTACTAAAGCAAATAAACGGGAAAGACGGCCCAGTGTTTCGGAAGAACAAAATATAGTCAGTATACCATTTGAAAAATTAACTAATATGGAAAGAATTGATGAAAAATCGTGTAAGTTCATGCCTAATCCTAGTATTAGTACTGCATGCCACCTACTATAATAATTAAAATAGGAGAGTTTATACAGGTTCAATATTAGATTAGTAAGATGTTCAAATATAAATATAAATCATCTAAAACAATACTGAAACATATAAATTTTAATCCATAAACTGCATTTAGTCTTTTACATAAGGTTTTATAGCATGTGTACAGTGTTTACTCATTGGCTTCATGTTTTATTCCACTGTAGACATTGCAAAAAAGGCGCTCAATGAAGCCACAGGAGCTCTCGTTGTTTGCAAAGAATTTGACAATAATGATGGTGAATTTATTCGAGAATTGAATATTATGAAAGGTTTAAAAAATCAATATATAATCGAATTCATTGGCATTAGTGAAGGTAAATAGTTTATAATCACCTACTTATTACCACGCTCTTAGTATCATTCCTAATAATAAATACAATAAGCACAGATAAAGAAAATCATATTTATTATATTATAACGGAGTATGCAGAAGAAGGTGATTTAAGGTTCTATTTAGAAAAAAATTTTAAGGAACTGGATTTTAAGAAACAACTACAGTTTGCACTTAATATTGCAAGAGGGCTGGAGTATTTACATTCTAAAAAAATTCTTCATAGGGACTTGGTAAGTTAATAAATATCTCATGATTGATATAAATTTATTATCAGGTAATTAATTATTATTATATTTATAGCATGATAAAAATATTGTGATTTCTCGCGGAAATGCTAAAATAATAGATTTTGGAAACTCAGTTCATGCCAACAATCAAGAGAATATTACACTTTTTGGATTTTTTCCTTTTGTGGCTCCTGAATTAATAAGGAACCGAAATAATATTGAATATACCTATAAAAGTGATATCTATAGTCTTGGTGTGATACTTTGGGAGTTGACCAGTGGTCATGAACCTTTCAAACATTCTAAACTTAATCCTCAAGATTTAATATCGAAGATTGTTTCTGACAAATTCAGAGAGAAGGATGTACGCGGAACCCATAGAGATTATCATTCACTTTATAAAAATTGTTGGGAAGATGCTCCGAATAAAAGACCAAATATTGAAGATGTTTTGAAAAACCTAGTGAAAATAAGCAATGAAATGAACGGAAATCCACCTGGAGGTACGATTATATTAAACAACTATATAATTTTTATTTTATCAAGTTTTAAGCTCACAACTGTTAAATAGGAAATCCAAAACACTCGTCTTACGGTATTTTTCTTCTTTTTTTAGTTTATTTGAGCATTACCAAATGAAAATCTATAATTACGAATTTAAATCTACGTTTAAGGTTCTACAAGTGCGGCAACTATGTTTCGATAGTAACGTACAGTCACTTGTAGATTCCATTTACATTGTACCAAGTTTACTCTTTGAATATTGTGATATTATTTCAATAACCATACAATCAGTGTTCGAATAAAATGTTATCAAAGCAACGGTATTATGAATTCTGATTGCAATCTACTTTCCATTACATAATATCACAATTCTTCTGAGCTTGCTTACAGTTTCATTTGGTAACACTCAATTGTATTATACTTCCCTATTTAGTGCACAAATTTATCATAAGGTACTCTGATATATATTTTTTTTTTGCGGGCAATGTTTGTCATTAACTAAAATTTTAGACACTAGCTGGAGATGTAACTTTTTCAAATTTGATGCTGTATTCTGCTACTCAATGTGTAGGTCTGAATTTATATTTTCCACTGTACTGTATTTAACCTCTAAATAGTGATGTCGTGCTTGAAGTTGATATCTACTTGAAATTACCAATTTAGGCGCACTAAATAAACATACCCTTGAAATTAGATCTACCTTGCCTAATTTTAGGCAGTTTCAACTTCAGATGCTTGAAGTTACACCTTTCAAGCAGATGCTAACTTCAAGCACGACAATATTACATACGTACATGTAACCTCAATTCTAGTCATTCATATTTTAAGCATATTCATGAGTTGAATGATGTATAAATTCTGACTTACAGACTTGTTTGGTTCAAAAGTGATCAAAGCGACTAGGTGCTGGAAAAAGGATGAATTTGATAATAATAAAAAAATAAATAAAATTAATTTTCTCAACGGTTATCGAATTAAGATGGCAGTAGGCATCGGTGGGGTCAGCATAACTCCCTGGATACGTATAACCAGAATTGTTCTGGTATAACTTTATATAATTAATAAAAAAATTTTTTTTATCAAATTTGATTAGATAACCGTTGAGAAAATTGATTTTTACATCAAACTTGTCTCTTTTTCTCTGCACATAACCAAATAATACAGCTTCAGCAGTAAATTCCAATAGTACAAATTAAATAAGGCTTCTTGAATATGTTTTTACTTTCCGGCACTTATGATTATATGAGTGTGATGGTAAATCACATCGTCAGGTTTATGAATTTCCACCTTGTCTGACTTTATTCCTGAAAAAATCTAATACTAGTGTTTTATTACGGCAGATTAGCATGGTATGGAAGTGTACCATAAGAATGTAAAAAACCGTACGTATATACCATACAGATCTACCGTAATTTTGATCAGGATTGGAGCTGTTAGTGGAAGCTGGTGAAACCCTTGGTGGATGGAGGCAAAGCTGGTGAAATTTATTATAACAGCTAATAAGTTTTAGATAGTCACCAGTTTCACTACATTATTTAGTTTCACCGGCAGCTCTAATCGTGACTAACATTAATGAAGAACCGGAAATTAATAACTATTTAGAAATTTCGATACTCCAGGGCGGGCTCCTGAAGTTCTGGTGTGAGAATTTAGTGAAGTATGAACCACGTGACAAATGGTTCTTTGTTAGTAAAATGATTCTTTAGGATTATAATACCGGGTCATTTTGTTAGCATGATCTAAGTACAAAATGCTGCGGCACTGACACATCCGAATTTAGCGGGTCACCCTGACAATCGAGGTTTTTGGTACTTAAACATAAATTTTGTGCACCATATATTTTTATTATTAATTTCTGCTATAACAATATCGATTTAGAAAAAGATCCTAAAATTGACTTGCTCCAATTCGAATTTGGTCAGGGTTATTGTAATTCTGGTAACAACAATTTTTATTTTTTATTTTTTATAATAATGAAAGAAATTAATCATAAATGTTTTAGAAACCATTTGCAATACATTAAAACCTATAAGAGGTGAATCTGGCGAAGAGAAAATGGATGATATTGAAGAAAAAGTTACTGAAAAAAAATAATCTTAAAACATTTGATCAAGTGACATATTTGTGTTTTAGTTAAAATTATTTAACAGTTATAGTTTAAAATAAGTCAAATCTGGCACATGTCATATTCTGATTTGGCTCTAATTAATGCCTCTAATTATAGCACTTTCAGGTTTATATTAAAAACTAATAGAGCTATTATGTATTATTAACTTAATGGTTTTTAACCAATTAATAGCTCTATTAATTTTAATATTAATTTGATAATATTATAATTAAGCTATTAATTAGAAAAATTTTTAAATTACACCAGTGGTGCTCAACACTGTATAATTTAAGTAATTTTGTTGTTAGTATTTAAAGTTAGGGTTAAAAAATTCGAATAAAATTGGAAGTTATAGACTAAAAATTAAAACTAAAAATGAAGTTAAAGTCTTTTGGGATGCTGAACAGCTTTTTTATTTAGTACATCTAGCCTTGGTAATTTAGACAGATTTTGGAATATAACAACTATATTCTCCGGCAGCTTATTATGATTCGTCTGCCCAATAAATTTATTATTCGACAGAAGTTACATAGTTGCCGAATAATAAAATTATTATTGGGCAGATTATCATCATAAGTTACCGGATAAATCCCTTATCAGTCATGCAGATGCATTATAACTATTAAGTATTAAACATTACTGGTATTATTTAGCAATACTGTTAATTAGTATTAAATAAAAATTAAAAAATTAATATGTTTAATTTGGTTTACTTTATCCTGTATATGTTCTAATAAATTTGTATATTTTAATAATTTCAAAGTAGAAACTTCATTAAAATTAAATATAAAATTTTATGTACAAGGTTTTTAACTATAATTGTGCTATTATAAAAAGATAAACTTTAAAGCATTTAACATAATATAATATTATATTTTATATTTTATATTTATACTGCAATAAATTATTTTAAATTAAAAATTAAAATAAATTAAAGAAAATTTGGAACTTATTAAATTTTCTATATTTAGTATATCTACTACTTTTTATAATACTAAAACTATATTTCTAATATAGTACTAACATAGTATTTATTATAAATTCTACTAGAATACTAGGTAAGTACAACTTTATAATTATTTTTAAATTAGTAAAGTATATATAGTACTATTACTAAGATCTTAAATTTGATTTGATTTACATATTTGAATTCAAATCAAATTCAAATCTGAAATTTTCAAATTAAATCAAATTAAATATAATTAAATTTAATTTAATTTAACAAATATTTAATTTGATTTGAAACTATAATTAAATGTTTAATATTATTTCTTAAACTGTTTTTCAGACAAATTTGCCTGGAATTTCATAATTAATCTGTGATTAAGTTATTAAATTATATTGAATTGTAGTTTTTTTTTTTTTGTTTTTTTTTATTTGTATAATATCAAGTAAGAAAAATAAGAATACATTTATATATCAATTAGATATGAATGTATAACTAAAATATTATTCCTAAACTACACTATTGT